CATTGACTTGTTTGTGTTTAGCCGTCATCGACCAATATTTAGCTACATGCGCATCACTGCACTGGCAGAGATGGGCTAATATTAGAGTGGCGCATCGATTAGTGGTAGTCATTATATTGATGATTTGATGCGTTATAGCGTTTTCCGGGAAACTGATTTTTACAAGATTTCCAAAGAGGATTAAATGAGCTTTAGATATACCTTCCATATAGGGCGGTATAAGCGGTATAGGCGGCATAGGCGGTACAGGCGGTATTTTATCTACTTAGCTTCGCAGTGTTTGACAAAGAAAATAATTCGATTGTGCACTGACAAATACTTACCGAACAAAAAGCTGTCATCACCCTCCGCAACACCCTCAATGAGATGATACCCCCATCACCCTCCGCAACACCCTCAATGAGATGATACCCCCATCACCCTCCGCAACACCCTCAATGAGATGATACCCTCATCACCCTCCGCAGCACCCTCAATGAGATGATACCCTCATCACCCTCCGCAGCACCCTCAATGAGATGATAGTATCTTATACCGCCTATACCGCTTATACCGCCCCATACTGAAATTCAATTTCCAGGAATTTCCTGGGCATCCAAAATGCATTGGATTTCCCGGCTAACGCTATAATGCATCATATGATATTGATTTGGATTCTTTATAACATTCCAATTTTAGTTTATTACAATTATATTGTATTGAGTACAAGCCATCAAGCGATCTGTGTGGTTACAGAGCAAGCTTTTATTCAGTTTAACAACTATGCGAATCGTTTTCTAGTGGGAAAATTTTTACCTATTTGTATAACGTGTATTTTCGGAGTTTTGGCACTTTATAATATAAAAAATATCGCACGTCGTGCACTAGAGAAACAATTAACCATTATGGTACTCCTACAAGCTGTTGTCATGCTATTTACAAACGTACCGTACATTATTACATATCTCCTTCAGGGAATACATCCTATTCCGCAATGTTGCACATTTGGGAATCAGTTCCTACGATTCCGGAATTCACCCGAAGCGATTCCGGAATCGTAGGAATCGATTCCATAGGCGGAACTGGTTCCCGAATGTTCAACATTGCGGAATAGGATGACTGCTCCAATAGCTATATCTGTTTAAAAAAAAACTAAACTTTTTAGTACATCATTTGTGAATCAGTGTGAAGCTAGCACGAAGGAGCTAGCACGAAGAAACTGTGTGTAAGCTAAAAACTTTTTTCCAGAGTTTGTCCGGTCCATCAAACCTGGTCCATTCGATTCAGAATTTAATTCTGCATCGAATGGTGATATTTTTATTCACCGGACAAACTTTGGAAAAAAGTTTAACCACATCTTTGTTTGTCTCACATAGGTCTATTTATGTTTCCGATAATTTTTTTCCAAAGTTTGTCCGGTGAATAAAAATATCACCATTCGATGCAGAATTTAATTCTGCATCGAATGGACTAGGTTTTATGAACCGAACAAACTCTGGAAAAAAGTTTTTAGCTTACGCACAGTTTCTTCGTGCTAGCTCCTTCGTGCTAGCTTCACACTGATTATCTGAGCACACATCAATGGTACATATCCACCTTATTGAGCTTAGAAGCACACTTTTAAAGTGGATGTAACCCCCAAGAATCTTTTTATTAAAGTCATAAAATGTTCATAAAAAAATGAAAGTTATATTTTATTCTTGTTTAAAATAAGCAATAAATTGTGATCCAAAACTAGCGATGACAGATAGAACTACTTTAATAGCAAGTTTATGATCAATAACAAGAAGTCCAAATAATTTGATAGCATTTTCTTTCGTTTCATATTCCATATATTCAATAACAGCATTTAAATAACGAATCCGTCCATTTTCATTTCCATCATTCATTATTGGTGATAAAGAATTTACTTTTATATTCTTCAAATGTAAAACTAAAGTTGTTGTCATGAGTTTGTTAATAAATACAACAATAGTTAAAAAAATTAAAATGGAAAATGATAAAATTAAAATATCAATAGAACACAAAATGATTAATAAATGAAATGATTTACCATATATAAATAAATGTACTACAGTAGTTAGAATTAATAAACCATCTATAACTAAAGCACAGGTCATTGTTGAAAGATAAAGATTATAGGGATCGACTTTTCGTTTAATTGGTTGAAAAAGTGAAACAAAAAATTCAAGATCATCTGATTTATATAAATTTAATAAATTTCCACTTTCCAAACTAATATTTCCAAATAAATTGGTTTTCAAGAAAAGTTTTTTTAATTTCCATAGCATTAAAGAATAGTTTCCAATACTTTCGACCATCATCCAAATCAAAAGAGAATAAAAGACACATGAAAATGCCACATATGAATAACGAATGGTATTCACTTGCCAATTCATATCACGAAGAGTTTCATTTGTTTTAGTACTTCGATAAATTATTGGAATAAACGAATGTAATATTCCAAGGATTACAGATGCGGAAATTGAAACAAGAAGATAAGCAATATAATACAAATAACCTTTTGATCGTAAATTTCCATGAAAACTATCCATTTTAGTAAGTGATTGAAACGATAAATCTTCTTTCGAAACTAATAAAATTCAAAAATATTATTTTATTAAGAATACTTTTCCTTTCACAATAATCACCACCTATATGTCAAACAATCTAACTTGAAAATGTATTGTACTCTCTTTCAAAATGGCTATGTGCAAAACTAACAAATCGATAATACGCTCAGTGTAACTAGAGATGCACCTAGTTCAAGTCGGACTGCGTGGCTGAATCCTCAATTCCACTGCTAATCAATTGTTGATTACGTCGTTAATGAGCTTGCTGAACATCTAGTATCACTTTTCACTCAATCCGACTCGGTATCTCAGAAGGACTGTATTGATACATCCTTACTAGTGTGTCAAATCTAATTGATCTTACTTCTTTCCCACAGGACACACAGGCTTCCCCTATGCAAAAAAAAACACACGTTGCAACCACCTCGTCTAACGCATGTATCACTCACTTCAGGCATGTACCCATTAGAAGCAGTTACACATCTTACTCCCTGCAANACAAAATATTTGCTTTTCGATAAGCTTTTTGTATCATTTTCTTGTTACGACGACGATCACGATATTCTTTGGATGTTTGATAAACATTAAGAACAGTTTTCATCGAAATAATTAATGCTACTGGCCAATAGATTTCCAATTCATTTGCTTTTGATGGTAATACATTAAACCAATAAAATTGAATAATATTAAATATTATTAATCCAATACAGACTGTGTAAACGAAATGGCTCCAAAATTCAATACAACAACTTTTAGCTAAAAGAAAAAAAGCAATTTATGAAATCTTTCGAAAAGATTTTCAAGTTAATTCTTACGGCCTGATCTTAACTTTTTATCGGATATATATGTTTTGAGAGAGCAAATCAGAGTGCCAATCAAACAGCAAGGTGCACATATAAAACTTGTCAAATAAAAAATGATATTTTCAACATTTAATTCCCAGGTGATATACGATAAATCCTTTTCATTATTTTTCAATGACTTCTCCAATGTATCCTTTAAACATTGTTTAAATTTGTCTAAATCTTCATCAAGATTCGACGCACATTGAATAAGTATATTAATAAAGATATTGATACCTTCTTCGTATGTATATGAAGAATTTTCTAGTTCTGGAATATTCAGCTCAAATTCTTTGCCTTTGAAAGATTTATTGAGATGATTTTTCAATAATTCAATCAATGTACGTAAAGCAGTTTCGAGTTCACGTCTATCCAATTTTGATTTTTCTTTTCGAGCACAATAATCCAAAAATTGTTCTCTCTCCGTCTTATATTCTTCAGCATTAACAATTGAACGAATATTGGTCGTATCATTCTTATTCGTTTTTGTTTTCTCATATTGTTTTTTTCTTTCACGATAACAACAACAAATGGTTTCTTGATTATTTGCCATGATGAATATAATATGGATAATTTAAAAATATTTTCGTTACTGTTGAATTGTGTGACTTTCCTATACGTTTCGATTTTGAAAAGAAAAACGTTGCGACAGATGCATTACTTAAATTGAAATTCAATGTAACAACGTTCGATTTTCGAATTCTACTCATGTTTTCTACTGCGATCGAATTGCGACGCAGTTGGTAAAAAATAGGCAACATGAGTAG